CCCCAAAACCCCAAAACCCCGCTCTATTTTTATGCTAGAAATTAGAGAGTGATTAAATATGCAAAAATATTGATTAAATTAAGAAAGTATTGAGGAAGGTTCTTTGATTTAGATTATCATTAGTGGTTTACCTTATCCTTCTCTTCTATTTCGTAAGGCTCTGGTTCGGGTTAAGTAAGTCTATTTTCTAGTCTCTCGATAGTGTTATATCCAATATCTATATTCTTTAGTTTCTATATTGCTTTGTATCTTCTGGCTAGCTTTTGTTATCTCACAGCATCAACTGGCTTAGCAGCATTTTCTTAATTCTTCTGCTCTAACCCTAGGTAATAATTTTCGTATTCAACCTTGCGCTCCTCAAATAGCCTAGCGTATTCCTTTCTAGTTTCAAGTCTTTCCTCTTTAGTTCTCCCATATAATTTTTAAACTAGCTTTTATCTTCTGTAAGGACTAACGTGCTCTTCTGGCTTTTAGTCTGGAGCTCTTTTTGCCTCCCAATAAATTTCTCTTAAAAGTTCAAAAGCCTTCATATAATTTTCATGGAAGGTATTGTACTGTTTGCTAACAATTTTGATAACTGATGATCCAGTATATCTTGGCCCTAACAAATAGATGAATCTCTCTTTTTAGGGAATTGTAAGCTTCATTGTGTTAATATCAACCCGAATTTTAGCCTAGGTTAGTGTTAAAACTATTCAAACTGCTTACGATTCTTTCTCTTGTATCGGTTGAATTGTATGATGTATCTCCAACATGATATTTCTTATAGCATATCTCTATTGCAAAATCAGGTGGGAAATATTTGTGTTCTTAAGCGATTTCCTCTGGTGATCTTAATTTGTAATCGAATGGATCTTTATGAACTATCTATTGCCATTCTGGAATGCAATTGTAAGACATATGGAAGGTTTTAGCTATATTAGATAATGCACTTAAGATTTACGCTTTCTGTAAAGAGCAAATGATCTTGATGGCGCAGAAATCATCATTTTAGATTGCATGCCCAAGTGATGATAAAGAGATTTGAACAAAATCGACATTTTATTAATTATTATAAGCCTTTAATTTACAGCTATTAATAATGAATGTATCAATTAAAAGTGAGTTTATTTATGAAATTAAGATTAATAGTCCTATCATTATCAATTAATGTCTTAATTAAAAGCATAAATTGTAGCATCTTTACTATTGTCATTGGTTTATCTCTTTTATTATACACTTTGCGCTTCTCACAAATTTATTTATATTTGGCATCGCCATCGAGTGAATCATGAATTCAGTATGACCAGACTCTACTCTTTTCGTAATCTTGTTAGTTTTCGAACTGAATAGCATATTTGAAGATAAACTACAGTCCAAAGTAATATCTACAGTTTTCCCTATGTTATTTTATACAGCATAAGAGTAGGCATGAACTTGCTCTGAAAATGTATAGAATAATTTATAGCCCTTTTTATTCTCTAGTTCTTATCCAAATTTGTCTATTACAAGAAGGTTAGTCCTAGTGTCTAAATCTGTTTAAACTGCATCTCTGACTGTTACTGAGACCTCAATAGCAGAATGGAATGTTAGAATAAAGCACCTAGATCTCACAGAATATAAATCTCTATCATATCCAAGATTTTCCAGAAACTACCATATTTATTCATCACTTCCACCATGATTTTACTTCGTCTCTTGAATCAAATGCTTAAAATATTCTTTGAAACCTTTAACAGTTATACCTCGAGATGTAGAATGGAATTACCCAAGTATATCTTGTTGGAATTCTTTTTCAGTCAGATTTGATCTACCAATGCATTCACAAAAGCCTTTAAATTCACAATATGTTAGCTCTTAATTCAATAGCATATCAAATTTCTTGAATACTTCCTCTAGAACTGATTCTAAAAGTTCATTCAGATATCCATTAATAGTGAGTAGATTAAGATTAAGTGATTGCGCATTTTCTGGTCTTTTCAGGGTGCATCCTGTTGTTCTTGGCAATATAATATATGACCCAGCATCTAAATTTACTTCAATCTCACATTGTCTATCCTGCACGAAATCCTTTAGATCAACTAATTCGACACCATCATTAGTTCTCTTAAGAATTGCAATACCAATATCTAAATATGGTCTTCTCTATATTACTCCTTTAATCCTTTCATCTTCTTAATGTAACCCGATAAAGATTCTAGTTTGTTCATGCAAGTCTAGAGAATAATACCATTTCGATATAACAACTTCAACATTAGGATCTTCAATATCTTGCACTCTAATAAATTTTCCTTTGATCCTAACTTCTTCCCAGTTTTTTATCCTGCAAACATTCAAACATTTGAAGTGCTTTATTGTGTCCTAATAACTCATCCAAAATGTTCCATCTCCATCTTCCTGATTCTAAACAAATACAGGACCTACAGCATCCTTAATTTTTTATGTCCATTTTGAGCTTTTCTCACTCCAATCCCCTTTCCAATCATAATGTTGCAAAGAAGATCTTAAATTAAGTAATTGATTCCCAAAAACATCTTTTACTTAAGCAACAGCAAAAGCTTAACCTCTAGGCAGTGGATTAATTTAAATACTATCTGCTTATTCTCCATCAATAGCACTTTGCCTTTCTTAGATCTAATTATTATCAATCCATCTTCCCTCTCCAGAGGTTGAAAATGATAAAAGATATCCTTCATCATCAAAGTATTTTATAAGTTCCCAAAATTAACCGTTTTCTATGAAGTGCTAGACATACTCATCATCTAGTTCATAGCATATACTAGGACAACCTGTAAGATCTAGAAGTGCTTCGTTAACAAAGCCACCTCTAAGCAAATAGTAATTCCCATGAAGTTTTGCGTATGCTTTTTCGAGTAACATAACCCATAATTCATTTCCATGACATTTAGCAAAGATTGGTTCACCTTCTGGATAGCAAGGAAAGTAATCATCAACTGTAACCGTAACCCACTCTCCATTTTTGCATAATTTTACTCGATATATGCCACTTGAATTGATCTTATCTGTGATGAATAATCTGTCTATGAGTGCTGGTCTCTCTGCTAATATCGCAACTGCTGATAAAAACCAGTCATCACCTAAAACGCCTGGCTTGATATCATTTGGTTCTATAGTTTCATAGAAAACATTTGGCTCCATTAGTCCTTCAGCAAAATCAGCTTTAAGAAATTCTTGAGGCCTTCTCCAATGGACAATTACATCAAAGGGGGAATCTATGTTATAGTCAAAAACACTTGAATCAGATGGCTCAAATTCCAAATCAATGAAATTATGATTATTCATTTCTTTTAACTTTTACTCTGCTTAATCTATTGGTAGTAGTGAGAATGGAATGTTAGCGAAAATCTTCCTTACAATATCCAATTTTTATTTATGCTCTGTCAGATATTTTCTAAGAAACTCCTTTTATCTTTCAATAGGTGGGTTTTTAAGAGTAAATCTGAATTTTGATTTAAGTTTCCAATTTTTTAAAAGTCTCACTTTAGCGACTAGTTCAACTTATTATGGGGCTATATCTTTTTTAACTATCATTGCTGTTTTATCGTTTTTGCCTGATGAAAGACTCTGATTTTATTAAGCACTAGATGCTTGCTCAATAATTATTTGTTCACTTCCTGTGAAATCAGCAACAAACTCAATTTCTTTCAATGCTTTTGATTCAATCTAATTCAGGTTAAAATATTATATAGTTTACAATAAACATGTATTTGAGCTCAGCCCCGTCCATAGAATTCACAACTGGTTTATGAACTTTATGAAGTATTATGTCTTTTGCTATTTCTTTCTATATTGAATTCTTTCGATCTAAAGCATCTAAAATATTGTTGGGTGGAGCTTAATTGTGATAATCTTGCATATTCATATTTATGAAATTTAATTTTATAATCACTCTATTTTAATCTATAATTAATCATGGGGTTTTGGGGTTTTGGGGTTTTGGGGTTTTGGGG